TCTGCACTTTCCCTTGTTATATTTCATTCATAATCCTCTGACAGTCTGTATGGGCTAGCCAAGGTCTTCCACAAAGCAGATGAATGTCATCTTAAAAAAAAAAGAGAGAGAGAGGAGGAAAACCCTGCTTGTGCCTCATTTGCTTCTCTGGAAACTTATACAGCTTTTATTGCAGATGTATAAACTCTAGCAATCCTTTCAGTGTAAAACTGTTAAATGGGCAATATTGCAGAAAAGGAAGAGCAAAGTGATGAGAGATTTAAGATGGAAAGGAAAAAAGGAAAGCTCATTCATTTGCTTTCTTTTCTCGCCTAGTCTGGTAGAGGGGCACCAATGAGGAACTTCCTGAAATTTTAACCTCTACATTCATGTTAGTACCTGCATCATGGCACAGCAAGGAAATGTTGGTGAGCTCCTCTCAATGCTGGATTCTCCAATTCTGGGTGTCCTGGAAGATATAACAGCTGCATTCAAAGATAATCTCATTTGTGGTATGTATCCTTTTATGTGTTTGGAAGAAGGTTTTGCTTTTACACCAGTAAAGGTACAATAGTGGCTTTTTTCTATCAAATACAGTCTTTGCAAATGCAACTCGTAAGAAACTCTTGATATTTGGGTTTGAAGTTGCATTAAAGATGGAGGCTTCTCTTCAGTCCATTTCGCTTAATGGCATGCCTCTTGGAAAGTCTGTTATGCAATTGTTAAAATGCTGTTATAAAGTAAGTAGCTTTTCCTGGGGCATAACCTCAGGTTGTGAGCTGATGAAACTTTCTTTGTCAAGCGTATCTAGAAAGAATTGGGTGTCATCCGCAGTACGGGAACTAGTGGGATGTTTTTCATTTGAAAAATAAACAACAAAAAACCCCAACCCTGAACAGAACAGCAGACTCAGGCTTTCTTGAAAAAGATGACAGCTGCTATTAAGGCATCCTTTATGTTGATGGAGCCTTTTCAGAGTGTGCGAGCACTGTCAGCATCACAGAGTCACAGAATATTAGGAGTTGGAAGGGACCTCGAAAGCTCATCCAGTCCTACCCACCTGCCAGAGCAGGCTCACCAGACCAGGTCACACAGGAACACATCCAGGCGGGTTTTGAATGTCTTCAGAGAAGGAGACTCCACAACCTCTCTGGGCAGCCTGGGCCATGCTCTGTAACCCTCACAATGAAAAAGATTATCCTCATGTTCAGGTTGAACCTCCTATGCTCCAACTTGGACCCATTTCCCCTTGTCCTGTCATTGGCTGTCACAGAGAAGATCCTGGCTCCTTCCTCCTGACACTCACCCTTTACAAATTTATAAACATTAATGAGGCCACCCCTCAGTCTCCTCTTCTCCAAGCTAAAGAGACCCAGCTCCCTCAGCCGCTCCTCATAAGGGAGATGCTCCACTCCTTGTCCCTGAACTTGCTCTCCTTTACAATTTCTCCCTTCAGCAGATAAAGTTATTCCTGAGCTCTTTACCTCTACTAGGTAAAATACTCTTGCAGCTACCTTTAGCTTTTTAAGGCTAGACAGTAATTGTTAGTTATGAAAAAAAAATGGTTACTTTCTGTGAGCCAAATGCAGTTGCCTGCATGGGTCGAAACTAGAAAACGTAGTTGAGAGGCCTCATTTTCCTCAAGGTCTGGTAACACAGAGTATTGGTTTATGTTATAAATTGTGTAATAGTTGTTAAAAAGTGGTGCAATATTCCTGTAAGAAGTGATTCATTTTTAGTGTATTGAGATCGTTGTTTTTTTTTTTGCTGTAAACAAACTGATAGACCGTGGACCTATGCTTGTGAACAACTTGGTGGACTATTACTTGGAAACCAATTCTCAGCAGGCACTGCATATACTGTCCACACTGCAAGAGCCTCATGACAAGGTAAAAAAATCTTATTAAGTGTGGCAGATTTTATCTGGGTATTGAAGCAGCCTTTAAATGACATCTTTTAGAACTGTTTTTCTGTTCTGGTATTAAATTACCTTGCTGTAGAGATGTAGTATCTTTGTAGTAAGAGTAGTTAAGTTTTACAAAAAATTTCAAAGGTCTCTGTCTCTTGGGTTGCTTAAACTGACCCAATTAAGCAAAGAACCGCTATAAATGCAGATTTTCTGAGGACTAACGTGTCTTTGCAATGCTGCTACTTCTTGTTCAATGCTGGATGTGTTAGCCTAAAACTAATTGGGTATTTTGAGAGGAAATAAGGATTTTTAAACAGGTTGAGAGAATGGCACTTCAAATTGTTTTACTTCTGCTGACCGAATTTTGTTTATTATTTATTTGTGATAAACATTTTGGAGTGCACTGACTGATTCTAAACTGAATGGTTTGCATTTTGCTACAAGCAGCCTTAAATTTATTGCTGGTTTTTATTTGCTCTTGGATCCTGTATGTTTGTAAAATGTCCGTAGTTTCTGTAATTGGCAATGACAAATCACTGTGTTTAGATTGGTGTAAAGGAATATATTCCAGTTAAATATAAAGACCTTTCCTTTTTCTACCACTCTGAAAAATCCTGTATCAGCATCTACTGGACAAAATTAATGAATATATGGGCAAAGCTGCTACTCGTTTACCCACTCTCTCGCTGCTGGGACACGTGATAAGACGACAACCATCTTGGAAACATAAGCTTTCTCAAGCACCTCTCCTACTTTCATTACTTAAATGTCTCAAGGTAAGAACTGTTAAGTGTCGTCCATAAAACTCTTGTACACCTGAAAACAAGGCATTTGTTTTCTGTTTTGATGTCTTTTAGTTAAACTGTGAGGAGAGATAAAATGTAGATTAAAATACTGATCCTCAGTGGAATTATATCGTCTCTGTGCTGATCCTGTTATTACTGGCAATGTGGTTTTTATAAGCCACTGTCACTGAATAACTTGGAGTCAGGAAGGTTTACTAAAACTCCAAAAAATAAGTTGAAGACAGACAGCCATATATGAAGTTAATAGATATCTTGAATATGAGCTTAGTGAGAAATAGAGTAACTGTTCATTAGTGCATTCTAAAATTTGTGTATGTAAGGCAATATACTCTGCTGGCAGTGTAGGTGGGACATGCAATGGACTATTCCATGGTGAAATTACCTTGGAATTAGCAGACTTTCCCTTCTTTGCTACAGTTGTGCAAGGAGGTAGCTGTTTTCCCATGCTTTGTTGTTTTTTTGTTCCCATCTGCAAATTTATCAGTTACCATACTGTACAGTATTGTAGCAGTGAATAAAGGATGGAAAGTGTTTTGAGACCTAGAATGCATTGTAGAATGTGTTATCATTTAATATGATAGTGAAGAATTCCTATTAGTCATTTAAGTCTCATTAAAATGCATGAGGTAGTCAAGTGCCAGTGCTCTTCAAATCAAAAACACAACGAATTTGTAACTGCCAAAGAAGAAGCTACAAATGCTAACTCCTGACTTGCCTGAAAAGAGTTCTGTTGTTCTTTTCAGTGTGAATCTTTTCTGATTGTGAGAGGGATAAAGCGTGTCAGAAAACTGGTGAGGGAATAACGGAGATGTGGAAGAGCTAGGGATGTGTACAGAGCGATAGGTGAGGACATGGTGCTGTGAAAGGTTATGTCTGACCGAGGGAGAATAGAGGGTGTGGACTACACAGAGGAAGAAAAATCTGTAACACTGAATGTGTCTGATCAGCCTGAGTGGTGGCTCTTGGGAGATAACGAGACCAGCTCAGTGGCATCTGGCCACAGGGATACCCCTCTTCTGACAAAGCAGAGGAACTACCAGGGAAAATGCACATTAAGCTGAGGAAGCAAATAGGGACCCCACCTGGAAAGAGTTTGAACATGTTCTGTGTCCTGTCCTAAAATCTGGTTTTCTATTTGATCTAGCTAAGGATTTTTACTGCCACATCCCTTTCTCTCAGCGTGAGCCATGGAGTTCTAGTTACTGTTTGAATTACTGCTTTATGAAATATTTAGCAGCTGGAGTCATCAACCAGGTTTAACAGAAAAGCTCTTGACCCCTTGCGTTGGTAACTGGCCAACATCCTTGAATACCCTGATGAGATTTGCAGTTTCTTAGGTCCTGAATGTTGTGTGCGCTCAGCTCTGGGAAAGAAAGAAAGGAGCGCATAAAATGCTTCACGTATTTTATTTTTTTTTCTACTCCATTATGGACCTGTGGTGATGTTCCCTTTTTACAGAAGTCAGGTCTTTATACTGAAAAGCAGCTGCAGGATAGGAGCAGGAATCCCAAAACTTTTTCTTAGAGTTGTGCTGGATGGAAGCAGCAATAACTTTGGTTCATTAAGATACGGTAGGTTTCAGAGGGGCTATTTGAAAGCAGAGAACTTTTTTTCCATGATGATGATTCAGTGTTCACTTCATCCTTGGAAAAACACTAAGTTCAGCTCTTTTAACTGACTAATGCAGGTTTTTTCCCTTCTTGCAGACTGACACAGATGTAGTAGTACTCACCACAGGTGTCCTAGTGCTAATAACCATGTTGCCAATGATTCCTCAGTCTGGCAAACAGTACCTTCATGATTTCTTTGGTATCTTTGGGCGTCTCTCAGCCTGGTGCTTGCAGAATCCAGGTGAGATTTCAACTTTGTTGCATGCAGTTATGGTTTAGTAGTATCCTTGTGACTTACACAGGTGGTGAGCACATTCTATTATGAGACTCTAAATGGTCGCAGATTATTTAAATGCAGAAAATTATGTATTGGGCCACAGGCTATTCTGTTCTTTGATAGCTAGCATTGAGGAGTGCTTCTTTGCTCAGAATTTGGAAGTCTCTTAATGGATTCTTCCATGTGGTGCTGCTACTACATGAAGTTTCACTGGACTGAAATGCTGCTCTGATGCCAGTGAAAAGCAGAGACTGATCTTAATAGATATAGAAGGGAAAAAGCTAATGTTTGAGGCAGATATTTGGGAATTTGAGATTCCCAGATATGAATGGGGAGGGGGAAGAAGCAACATGGAAGAGTTTCTCTTAATGTGCAATTATCGATAGTCATGAAAGTGTTGGTAAAACTAGTCTGAGTTCTCAGTTATAGCATTGGTTCTGATGAGTTGGTTTTGCTGAACTTCTTGTAAGGTGTCTGATACCTAACACTGGTGTTATGTGTGTGTGTCTCGTGGCTGTATGAACAGACGCTATGTTAAGCACATAGAAATGCAATTAAGAGGGCCATTTTGCATTGCAAGTAGGATTAGAATTTATAAGATGGCTAGTAAGACTCAAGTGTGTCACGATTGCTTTTTGTGGATACAAGATTTTAGTTTTTACCGTTAAAGTGAAGCAAACCTGACTTTTATTTTTTAATCAGTCAGTCTTGCAAACTCTGGCTCACTGCCTAGAGGAGTTTCAGGTTTTAGCTTGAATAAAAACTGTTGCTCTTTGAGAATGAGTAAAGTGTTGCCTGTTGTCTTAGACTTCACAGTTTCGCTAGAGACCGTTCTTATCTCAGAAGAATTGTTCCAGTTAACATTTCAAATTTATAAGTACTTTGTTTGCATTCTTAGAAGATTTTTTTTTCTTTTCTCCAATGTAACGAAAAAGATTCTCACTACTTTTTACAGGTCACGTGGCAGAGATTTATCTTGTCCATCTTCATGCCAGCGTTTATGCTCTCTTTCATCGTCTTTATGGAATGTATCCTTGCAATTTTGTCTCCTTTCTGCGTTCTCACTACAGTATGAAGGAAAACTTGGAGACCTTTGAAGAGGTAGTCAAGGTAAGATGCTGCTGATCTTTATATTATCTGAGACAAAAGAATTCATAGCCGTACAGAGGCAGGTATCTGCCAGTTTAATACACTACATTGATTTAACTGAGGGCAGCTCAACAAAACAGAATAAAAACTGACTATTTGAGAACCGAAATCTCAGTTGGGAGCAAGATCATCTTGTGAAGCTGTGATGATGTGTGTTAGCTTTAGCTGTTAAATGTAACATTGTGAACTATTGGAAACAGTAGGTTGCTCATCAGCTTTGTGTAGTTCAGTGCAATCAAAGGATGCTGTACTGTTAATACATACTTCTTCTTGCTCATCCAGCCAATGATGGAACATGTGCGAATTCATCCAGAATTAGTGACTGGATCTAAGGACCATGAACTGGACCCACGAAGGTATATATGTTCCCTCTGCTGTTAGGAAAGGCTGTAAACGAGCAGCTTTTAGCTGGGTTATTTCAGAAGGCTTACAGCAAATCTTTTCTGTCAACAACAGTGTGTGGCAGTGCCGTTTTCATGGGTACACCAGGTAAACATTTTTCATCCAAGCTTATAGCTGGGTGAATAAGCAAAAATTGTTGTGCAAGGCCATTAACAACAATATTGGGGTTCTACATTAATTTTGTGTCTGGGATAGACTCTGTCTTCTGCTTAACAGTTGGCTTTGTCTTAATTTTATGACTTAATGATCAAACATCCTCATAAAGTTCTAAAAGAATTTATTTATAATGAATAAAGAGAAACTACCACTGACCTGCTCCATTGGCTTACGGTTTGGGTGATATTTTTTTTGTTTGTTGAAGTACTTGGTGGGATTTAAGTGTTTGAAATGGCTTCAGTGTGTCTTGTTTTGGTACCTAGATATTGGTTCAGTTAACAGATCAGTTCTTTTAACAGGTATGTCTTAACGTTATCAGCTGTATTAGTTTTCTTTAGAAATAGGCTCATTTGCCTGCAGCAGCACGACTTGCTGCTTTTCTCTTGTCTCCACAGGCCCAGCCACTGAAGAGGAGAAATTGACTCTTGTTGCTGCACAGTAGTGCTCTTGCCCTGCTTTTCAGAGCCACTAGGAAAACACTACTAAATGGGAACCTATTGAATATCACAGTGCTTACTTTGCAGGCTTCTCCCAGGCAGGGGGGAGGGTGGCACCACTAAGGAGTACAATTGGCACAAAACTACCAGTTGAAGCCTTCTTATTTGGGATATTGCACATAATATCTTACATTCAAAAGCAACTCAGCCTCTAATAGACAGCCTTCTGGGCTTTCTGTTCTTTACAGTGAACTTCCATCCCCTAAAATATTGGGCAGATCTAATCTGGCTGCTTAATTTAGTTAACTTAGTGAGAAAAAGTTTTCATAATGAAGGAGGTTTTAATAATGAACAATTTCCCAAAACTTGGGAGGAAAAACGTAGACCTGAAAGTGGCATTGCAGATGGTGTTTGCTTAAATAGTATCACATTCCCTCACTGCTGGCATGTCTAAATGTTGACTACCAACATCTGAGTCTAGTTGAGCTGATTTCTACAGCCGCTGAAGCTCAGGATCAACCAAGTCTTCGTATGCTGTTCCTCCTTTCCAGAGTGCTCCATGGCAGACCTTTATGGATCTCTGTGTCAAAGCTGTTTGTCTCCTCTCTGAGACCCCCTCTTACAAGTCATCTGGTTGCAATTTCTGTGTGGTGCCTTGTTCCAGTTTTGACTGGGAGCATGCAAAACTGTCTGGAACAAACGAGCCACCTTACAAACAATTCCTCGTATCTCCAGGAACTCTTGTTTGTAACAATAATTGACTAACTTACTCTTTTGGATCCAAAAACTGTCTGCAGGTGGAAAAGACTAGAAACTCATGATGTTGTGATAGAATGTGCCAAAATCTCCCTGGACCCTGCAGAAGCCTCATATGAAGATGGTTATGTGTCTCGGAAATTCTGCACAAGCTTAAAACATCATCAGACTGACTCCAATGCCAGCTATTACATTGACACACACAGCAGCTATGGTAAGACCTGTCTGACAGCTAAAAAATACCCAATTCCTGGAGGAACACTGACCCTAGAGCAAAAAGACATCTTGCTAATTTATCCCACTTAAAATCCAGTTCTCTGGCATCAGAAAGTAAATGAACATTACAAAAAGAGAACTATGTATGCTCTGGTCATGCAGAACATACAGAATGTTGACAAAGTTGCCTTTCCACTGCCTCTTTCTCCCCTGTTCCCCTGCCCTAGAACAATGAGCCAACAGGAAAACAAAAAAGGTAGTTGTAATATGCAGTATATTCAAAGTATTTAGTTGGGCTGGAACTGTGTATGTTGAATGGATTTTAAATGTTTTGGTTAAAAGCCTTTTAATATTAGCCAGAAGAATCATTGATTTGTATTTGATGTGTTCGATACTTTTTAATTTTTATGTTTTAATTTTTTTTTAACTTGCAGGGACTTCTACCCCATATTCCACTCCTAGGCTAACACTATCACAAATGCCAGGGCAGCTACCTCAGATTCTGAGCCCACAGTCAATACAGCTGTCAACTGAGCCACAGCAGGTAAAGCAGAAGATAAAGCACAGCATGCTTTTTAATGTTCTGCACTTTGCTTGTAGTTTCTCATGACAGTCTGAAAAAGTCATGTTTCTGAAAAGTACTGTGAATTCCTCAGAACTTAATGTACGTTTCAGATTTAACCCCCTGATTTCCTGTGTCAGAACCTGGATACAGATGTTCCTTTTCTGAGCTCCACTGATTTCTGTTTATTGTGTATTGACTTTATGTAGGTTACCATCTGGAGTCCTTCTGCTGTTTGTGGTATGACCACTCCACCAACCTCCCCTGGAATCGTCCCATCGGAGTCATCCCAGTCTGCATCACAACCTTACAGCAAAGCTTTTGGCACATCTGGTACATGCTCCGTTTCTGAATCAGGCCTTCGAGGTTTATTATAATAGAAACTCTGTCTGTAAATATTGCTGTCAGCTTCTTTAAATGGGGATGCCATACCATGCCAGTATTTGATAGGCTCAACTCATTATTTCTGTGAACTGAGTATTGGGTCATCTAGAGCAGTACTAATGCAAACACTGAGATAGGAAATAAGTTACAGTGAATTAAGTGCCAAAGTCTGAAAGAGGCCTTTTGTAAACTGTGCACCTTTATCTTGAAAAATGGTTGAGATCGTATGTAAAGAATTGTCTGTTTAAACACTATATTCAGTTGAAATGAGGAAGTGAGAGCCTTTCTGTGAAAACTTTTGCTGCTTCTTTTCAGGAGGGGGCAAAGGAACACCTTTGGGAACGCCAGCCACATCTCCTCCACCCTGCACTTCAGATGACTTTGTTCATGTTTCACTCCCTTCGGCTGCTGCCACGCCTCCTAAAAAGGTAGGACAAAACTCTTCTGCCAAACAAGTCTGTTTTTTTCTCACTGGCATTGTTATACATGCAGTGACCATAACTGAGAAAGAAAAGCCAGAGTAACTGATTTACAAAAAATACTGCATTTCATTAGAAAAACGTGTTTTCTTCTAAGTTCAGACGACTGTTGCTGCTTCCAGTTGCACAGTTTTAAGACTCCCATTGGTTTGTTATTTAAGCCATCTATTTGCTGGAATTTCCTTTCTGTGAAGCTGTTCAAGAGGTTTGTTTCCAACAGGTGTATGATGCAAATAATTTGTTTTGGGTTTTGGTTTGTTTGTTGTTTTTCTTTCAGGAGGACAAACCAGATCCTGGGAGGCCTTCACTGTACCGACAGCAAAATGTCATAAACAGCGATAAATCATTGGGTAAACTCTGTTTTCCTTTCCCCATTACAATAACCTGTTGTAAACAAATCCTGGATTTTGTTGATGCTTGTTCCAATCGCCAAACACTTTTCCACAGGTTTTTATCTTTCATTGTTTGGTTGTTTCTGGAGTTCTTTGTAGTTCCAGGATCCTCCCTTAACCTGTGATTCAACTTAAAACCTTCTTGTGGTACTTCTTGTTTCATTTTCACTATTCACCTTCAGAATTAGCTTGCAAAATTTTTTTATCTGGCCCTCATGTATTCTTAGGCATGTTTAAAAATACAGATCTACACTGAAGGCTGAAAAAGGGTTTGTTGTTTTTTTTTTTAATGCTGATTCTTTGAGCATGATTTTTTTTTTAATTAGAAGCAGGAAGTTGAATATGAAGTCTTATTCAAATAAGTTTTGTGTCATGTGTCTGGATCAAACTGTAGGGCTGCATATAAGGATAGACAGGATGCTCCGTTTTAAAGGCTTTGTTTTCTATCTACAATTATACTGCTATACTTCAACCTCTTTAAAGACCTGTGGAATATTGAAATCAACAGTGGGTGGTTGAGGAACTCAGCTTCTAATAGGTAAATCTAGATTCCAGTTTCCATTCTCTGTCATCTACATCTGTGACAGCTATAGAAAGGGATTTTGGCACTGTATTTGAGACTTCTGTCACACAAATCTTTGCCGTCTTCAAAGTGGAGATGATGGTGAAATTTAAAGCTGGTTTTCCTCGGTGAAGTTGTATAGGAACACTGGAATCTGAACTTTCTGAATTACAAATTAAGAACAGGCTAAGTTTTTCACTGGGTTCCTAATCTGTGACTGAGCTGCGATCATGTTGTTTCAATCTTGATGCTTTAGTGTCCACCTCCCTGGCAGCTGTCTCAGAGTTCTGGTCAGTAGTCACATACTGTAAAGTTTGTATTACATCAGTTGGCCAAGCTTCCTCTTTTTCAGGTAAGTATTGTGCCCTTGTGTAACCAGATCAGAAGCTAACGGGGAGTTTAATGCTAGTGTGGAAGTATAGTAGTCAGTATAGTAACTCTACACTTAAGCTTTTGGGTTTTATTTATTTAATGGTCTCAGTTGCAAACAGCACATTCTTATATAGAGAGGCGGTCATCCACACTTGTGCAATAGCATTAAGTTTACAAAATTCCATTTTGGGATCAGGACAGACCAGTGACTGATCTGTGAACTGGTTGGTTTCCACATGAAATGGAACAGGAGTCAGACAGCTTCCTCCTCTGAGGACGCGTATGAAAGAGGGACAGGCTTATTCTAAGGACCTCCAGCAGTAGAAGACTTCTGTTTTGTGCTGTGATAAGGCTGGAAAAAACAGCATCTGTACAACTAACCTTTTTTTAAATTTTGTTTTCTTCAGACACACCTGGTAGTAAAAGTTCAGTAACCTTAAGTGATCTTCAGGAGTTTTTAGGTGGTTTGTCTTTTGAAGATAGTGCCGAAAAGGACAGAGAGGAAGGTAATTTCTGTCATCCTTATGTACACCTTAGCTAAGGAAATGTCTCTAATGGCAAAATGCAAGATCCGTAATTATGCTCCCTCTTCCCATTCTTCTCAGATGCAATATCTAAGGAGATCTCGGAGATCACAACCGATGCTGAACACATGGTGCCTAGAGGAGGATTTGACTCTCCATTTTACCGCACAAATGAAAGTCTGTCAGGCTCTCAAAAGAAGACCCATTCGGTAGTCTCTAGTGTTCAGGGACACAGTCAGACCTCTGAGCCTTTAACATCTTCTCTGGACAAGCCTGGGCCTGAGAGCACGCGGGAAACACCCAAACAAACATTTACTCCCATAGACAAACCCTGTGGAGGCTCTGGTGAAAACCCTGCAGGTAACAGGGAAGGAACCTCTGGGGAGACAAATATTCTCACTCCCAGCCCTTGCAAAGTACCAGCACAAAGAAGAGTGGTGTTTGGGAGTGGGCAGCCTCCCCTATACGAGCACCTTTTTGAGGTTGCATTACCAAAGACTGCCTACCTCTTTGTTGGCAAGAAGACTGAAGAGCTGCTAAAGAAAGTGAAGGGAAGCCAGGATGATGACTGCATGTCTTCTACTTCTCCTGTGGAAGTACTGGACAGACTGATACAGCAAGGAGCGGATGCACACACTAAGGAGCTGAACAAGTGGGTGACTGAAGATCTTACTTTGCAAACTTTCCTGTTAATCCTTTTTTTTGTTGGCTTTATTTTAATAGCTGTGCCTGAAAAGCTGCCGCATCTGGAAATCGACAATGAAACCATATTCTGTGAAACATTACTGTTAACTGAGCTGGGTGGAGGATTTTTACATTTGCAGTGGTACCTAGTTTGCTTTGCTATATAGAAAAGAGCTGTGACCATAGAACTCTTACTGCCTTCACTGGCAGAGCTTGGGATGAAGAAGCAGGGCTGTTGGCTGTGCTACAAGTGTAGTTTTGGTCACACTGTTAGTGAGATTTGCTTATTTTATTTGGTTTAAGTCCCAAACTAGATAGTCAAAAGTAAATGTAGAGAGGCCAAGAGGAGATTGACACTTTATTCTTTCTCATATATGTGAAGCTGAGAACTGAAGAACCAGATCTAAGGCTGAGATATATCTGCTGTATTCCATTTTTTCATCTTGCTGCCCTGCATTCTGCTTTGTCCTTGTGCTGTTTTCTGTGCCTGCGAGAATCTCTCTAACTTCCAAGGAATGATGCACTCCGTCATCTGCCATTGCAACCTGTTGCTTGTACTGTTCCTCATTCTCTTCATTCTGACTGACTATAACTGTACTCTTATTAGGCTGTAAGATCTTTTGAGGTGGGCATGCCATGTTAAAGTGACTTGCAGAGGGTTTGCAAATTTAAATTTACTGTTTAATGCTGTGTTTTCGTTTTTCAGGTTGTCTCTGCCAAGCAAATCTGCTGACTGGACTCATTTTGGAGGTGAGGGAGTTTCTCATGTGTTTTGACAGTCTGTTTCTCTGTTACTAGAGTTCCTTAAACAATGACCTGCACACTTCTTTTTTCACTAATGCTGCAGAAAGATGGTGCCCTCCATTAAGTCATGGTTTATCTGTGTTCCAGTGAGATGAGTTGGGTGTTTTCATTTTTGAAAAGTGAAAACTGCCTTCCCCACAGTTCTAGACATTTCTGCTTTTGATCATTTAAGATCTGCCAGCCTTCAGAGTGATGCTGATCATCTAACAGATCCTTCCACCTTTTCAATACTTTTCGATCTAAATCTGATGATTCCAACTTCACGTATGTGTCATAGTTTTGTGCTTTTAGGTTTCTGTGGTGATGGTGAGCTTGGCTTTTGTTTTCTTTATAGAAGGAGCAATCTATTTAAAACATATACGTGTTGCTCTGGGAAGAATGTTTAAAATTTTGTGTTGGAGATCAAATGGAACAAACAAGTTTTTAAAGTTGTAATTGCAAAGAAATCTAATTTGCTTATTTTAGAAAAGATTTCCCATATGTGGAAGAGGAACAGTAAAGTTCCATTTCTGTCTTGTAACTCCCATCCAGGTTCTCCCCCTTCAGATGAAATTCACACCCTGCGTAACCAATTGCTTTTGCTGCACAACCAGTTACTGTATGAACGCTTCAAAAGACAGCAACATGCCCTTCGGAACCGTCGGCTCTTGCGAAAGGTGATAAAAGCAACAGCACTGGAGGAACACAATGCTGCCATGGTGAGCAAAGATAGAACTCTAGCAGTCATTTAAACACACTGGTGCAATTAGTTGGGCCAGTATCTTTCAGTACCACTCAATTAAAAAAGAAGCCTCATGTCTCGCCTTATTAAAGTCAGTGTTTGTGAAATAACTTGTGGACTAATTACATGCGTGCGCTGTGATTATTAAAACCAGTAGTTTCTGTTTGACCAGAGGCAGCTGAATCAGTGGATGGCTGCATGCTTGACCCTTGCCAGCACTTACCTTTGCATAATGTTAACTGCTTCACAGTTAATGGAGTGGTTACTTAATGTCTGGCTAGAGACACCTGATTGCATTATTTGAAGAAGAATTGTCCTTTTGTCCACTCATCAGTTGAGAAGTAATAGCAAAAACTTTGAAGCCTCAAATGTTCTTTTGCAGACTTTTATAGGATACATGATAAAATATGAAGCTGTAAGTGTATTGCAGGATGTATCATTAGAGATTTAGACATGTTTCATTCTGTATTTATATATTATGGTAACTTCCATCTACAGTTTTTGCTTTTGATAGTTCGAAGAGCCAAAAATAGCTTTCCAAATAGGTTTTGGAAAATGAACTGTAGCTTCAGCTGTGAAACCCAAGTCCCTGTCGAAAGCATGAGGTGCAGTGGGAAAATCTGCTGTTGCTTGTCGTGCCTTTGGATGTGACTTTGAGTTTTCAGCCTGTCTGCTCTATCACCATTTAATCTCTTTTTCAGTCAAAAAACCAAACCAGATGTGAAATGCCTTAAGAACATGCTCTATATAGAATGTTCTACATATGGAAAAGTGTTATGCCTGCATGCTATTAATTGGTAGCTTTAGTTAGCTACTTAGGACAGATGTTCTAACTGATAAAGCAGGTGTCTTGTCTGATGCTTCATATGGGGTTCTTATCAGAAAGATCAGCTGAAACTACAGGAGAAAGAAATCCAGGCCTTGAAACTGAGTCTGCAGAAAGAACAGGCAAGGTACCACCAGTTTCAGGAGGAACATGAAAATATAGTGGCTCAGCTCCACAGCCAGATCAGACAGCTGCAACACGACCGGGAGGAATTCTACAACCAGAGCCAGGAATTGCAGGTATGAAGCACGGCACTGAACAAAATTATGTTATCTACTGAGTGGCTTTAAAAATAACCTTGTAATAATGTGGCATGAGATACCTGAGAGAAAGTTCCGTATCTCTATTAGAGTTACTGTCCTAATTCAGAATAAGACAGTGCATAATTGGAAATGCCTAAGTTAGTCATCATCCTTTTATAGTTCTGTGTTGTCCTGTCTTCAATTTGGAAATAGGAAAATGCAGTTTCTTAGCTAGTTTTGGGACTTTTACAAGTACTCAGTACGATTTGCTTTACACTGCTGGGGTTTATGGCTCTCCAGCCTTTGCCATTGCTACTCCTTATTAAAGTTTCAGAACCCTGAGTAAGTTAGTTTGGGGTTTATTTATTTATTTGAACAGACCAAGCTGGAAGACTGCAGGAATATGATTGCAGATCTGAGGTTAGAGTTAAAGAAGGCTAACAACAAGGTGTGTCACACTGAGTTGCTGCTTAGCCAAGTTTCTCAAAAGGTAAGAAAAGTCACTGTTCCCAGAGTCCCTTTGTGTCTTTCTGTTTATTTTTTTTCTGATCATTTTCATCAGGTGCTGAACTAAGCTTGTGCTTAGTTCCGTAGAGTCTGATATAAATTGCACAGAAACAGCAGGGAGAAACCCAATTTGGTGAAGAAACTTTAAACTCTGTTCAAAGGCTTCTGAAACTTCTCATTTTGGCTGCTCTTTCCATAGTAGGAATTTGCAGATTACACAACATGAACTTGTGTTAAAGCTTTGCTAAATCTTGGCATCTTAGAGATCTTGTTTGTATCAGAAGTTGAATGGACTTCTCATGTAAGTGGAAACAGCATTATGTTAAGGAAAGCAGTGCCTATATGGTGAGGTTCTATATGGACTGTCACCAGCTTTATAAAAGCTATTTTAATTAACATTTATTACCTATGATACATTGTATTCTTGTTTTTGTCACCCTTCTTTATTAAAATGCTCTGTGAACACAGTGCCTATCAACTGTGACTCTCCTGCAGAACTATTTGTTCCAGTGTTTGATTCTGTTCAATTTCTCTTTAAAGCTTTCCAACAGCGAATCAGTGCAGCAGCAGATGGAGTTCTTGAACAGGCAACTTCTGGTTCTTGGAGAGGTCAATGAGTTGTACCTGGAGCAGCTGCAACACAAGCACACAGACACTACAAAGGTATGATTAGAGAGTTGCGGAGGAAAACATTACTTGAGGTCATCATCAAGCTGTTCTCAGCCTCGTGTTCAGAATGAAGAAATGCTTCATAACTTAACAGATACTTGGTTTTGAAATTGATTTGCAAGGATTGGATTTCATATTTAATCTCCTGTTCAGATGTTTTTATGCACTGTGTTGTTAGAAATCTCTTCAGTGCCCTATGCTTGAAAGCTAAGAAGGGGATGTTAGGGTACACCTGAAGTCAGGTGTAGCCGCTTGATGTAAATTCTCAGCAATTTTTTTCTTGCCAAAGGCCAAGACTTTACTGTGGTCTTAACGTAACTGGCAGCAGACTATTGCTGGTAAAGTAACACTGGCCTCTTATATTTGTGAACGTGTATGATACGGGACGGTATTACTAGACTTTGTAGAAAGATCTTAACCAGAGTTTTACTGGGTTTTGTGATGTGTGCTTTTTTAAAACAAGCAGTCTTACTCTTCTCACTTAGTCATTTTCCTATTAAGAGTTAGTATTAGCTTTACAGAAACTTCTGTGGTTCATATGGTTTTACTTCCTGACTTCAAAGAAACCTTTTTTTAATTAAGAAGCAAGTAAATTACACAACAATATAACTGTTTCTGCGTGAGAGCAAGTAATTAAAGAAGGTGGATAATAAGCCAAAAAAAAAAGTCTTTTACTAGTTCTTAATGAAGGTTGTGTTGCAAAAATGGTTTTAAAATTGAGTTTATCTATCCTAATCTGGTGCAGAACTGGAAAGTTTTCTTTGCTGAAAAGGGCTTTTCATAAGGAACGTTAATGTGTTAATAAATTCCAGTGATGTATATTTATTTTCACAGTAACTTAATAGTGTGCATCTTCAGAGTATCCAGTTTTCTATATCTGTTTTTAGAAATGCTTCTTTTATTCCATCCTGCTTAAAAACGTGCCTATTAATAGCATCAGAGGCATGTCTAAATACTAATAAAAATAACACACAAATTATACTTTAACATCGTGTTCTTTCCTTTGAGGAGGTTGAAATGTTGCACGCTGCATTTCGGAAAGAACTGGAGAAAGCAAAGTTGTGCGTTCAACAGCAAAGCCAAAGGCTTGATGCTTCCCAGAAACGGATAGCTGAACTGGAATCTCAGCTTGCTAAAAAGGACCACCTCTTCCTGGAGCAAAAGAAATACCTGGAAGATGTCAAAATCCAAGCAAGGTAGGAGCTTCTTACGCAAAATTTTAGCTGTTCCACATCAGATGGACTACCATAGCTGTGGCAGAATCCAGAAACACTGGGCCTCATGGTTTATGGTTTGTTTTTCTGTTCAGAGGTCAGCTGCAAGCAGTAGAAAGTAGGTACAAGGCCCAGAAAAGAATCACACAGGCGTTTGAGCTGGAGATCTTGGATCTGTTTGGCCGGCTAGAGAAGAGCAGCCTGCTGAAAAAACTTGAAGATGACAAAGCAGAAGCAGCTGAAGCAGCAGAAGAAAGGTAAGGGTGGTGATGTAAAATACAGTGGACTCATGACCAGCTCCTTGGAAGTTCATACCCTTGTGGAATTTCTAGCGCTTGGATGCATCATCTCAAAATATTTGTTACTCCCCCCTTTACAGGCTGAATCTATTTCAGGACTCTGCCCAGGTTACTGAGAGTCATTGATAAGAGCATTTCCAGTTTTGAAATACTTTTCAGGTAGCTGGACCATTACTCAGAGTGGGAGAGAAACCTCTGGTTTGTCTCATAGACCAATCTCTTTAATCTACAATTTGTTAAACAGTTGTTAAGTAGTTGTTTTACATATGTCTACCTCAGGCAACTAGATAGCATTGTACTTTCCCGTGGATCATACTTTTTTTTTCTGTTTACCCAAGTTTCACTACAGTATCAGAATAACTTACTGCACTGCCAGCAGAATCAAAGCTGCCTTCCCCGGCATTTCCCCTTCCACTGTAAACAGTTGCTGCAATCTCCTTGACACTGTATCTTCTCTCTGTCTGAAACAGGCTGGACTGTGGAAATGAAGACGCTGTAGCGGGATACAGTGAAGAAACAATTGGTAGAAATGGAGAGACCAAACCTCCCAGCACTCGAGGTAGTAGCAGCAGTAAGGGTGGCAGCAGCAGTGAGCTCTCCACCCCAGAAAAACCCCAGAACCAGAGATTGAGCAGTCGCTGGGAGACATCCGTGTTGCTGGAACCCTCGACTACTGTCCCACTGACTGTAGGTTCACTCCCCAGCTCCAAGAGCTTCCTTGGAATGAAGGCACGAGAGTTATTTCGCAACAAGAGTGAGAGCCAGTGTGATGAGGAGGGTGTAACCATCAACAGGCTTTCTGATGCTCTAAAGACTGAACTATGTAAAGATCCAAACATGGAGACAAAGGCCCCTCCAAGCCCCGATAACCTTAGCCTCTCACCTAAGATCCAGGAAAGCAGTGTTGGACAGCTTCATATCATGGACTACAATGAAACTCATCATGACCACAGTTAAAAAGGAGGAGAGTCAATCAGTGTTATTTTCATATTCTTGGCATAGAACAGGAGGCGTGAATGCAAGTTTAACTAAAAGCTTTTATGTTTCTTTGGTCTGAGCAGCTAGCTCATGCAGCGGAATAGGATTGACGTCCAGAAACAGAGGAAAGCTGCTAAATGAATGCGAAGTGGATTTTTGGGTCTGGAATTGAAACGCCCAGCCTAACTCTTGCTTCTTTCTCAAATTCAGTCCTTAGCAGCGTGTACTAATTTGAAGGGACGACTGTTAGCATTTACAAGTATTTTTTCCTTTTCTCCCTGTCCCCAGTTGAGTGGCTGCGTTTATGAACTTGAGTGCAATATGAGGCCAAATTAACATTTGTGAGTCTACTATGAATGCTTTGTATTTCCTTGCAAGCTTCCAATTTAGAGCAGTTAATTGTGCTGCTTGTCCGGGTGGCTTTGGTTGCTTTCATCCTGGAAAGAAGCAGCACTAGAATTTCTAGTGCATTCATCTAAAGGTCTCTATTTTGCCTGTCCACTGTCCCGCATCCCTCAGAGCCCAGTCTTCATTAAGCTGGACTCTGATTAAATACCTAAATGTTTAAAGAACAGTGTACCTCTGCAAAACGATTCATTCACCCTAATTCATGATCACTGTTTATATCGTCCTTAACATTTCCTGGAAAGTTACATTTGAACAGACACGTAATAAGGAACCAGAGCTTGTAATGCAGAAGAGACCATGTATGCTGAAGACTTGTTAAAACACTAGCTTCTGATCTTTTTGGTATTTTAAGTGTTTGCCTGACAGACTGGTACTGACCTCAGACTGTTTCATGTGGGAAAGGAATTGGGGTGGGAGAAGAGGGAAGAGGAAGCTTTACTCAAGTAGGGAGAGCATGCAGAACGGGTACGTAGAGTTGCAAGCTTATGAAGCTGTGCAGAACAGCATTTGTTTCTCTAACCAGAGAGACACTTGTGCTGCCTGACCCACCTTCATCGTTCTGGTCTTTGTTCCCAGACTGAGCAACACCACTATGTTCTGAGTCCGAGAAATTGGCTTCATTCTTCCTGGGAATACGTTTTCAGGCTCGACTTACACAATATGGTTTCGTTTGAGTGCTGTTCTGCTCAGACTGCAGCACATTTTTTAGCTCGGCTCTGTCAATTTGGCTCTGGGTATCTCCCCTTCACCCTCATCTCTGTTCCTTAGAAGATGAGGCTGAAGAGGAAGCCCGCTAAAACTGAGAATCAGAATTCTGTTGCGTGAAGCCTTTCTGTGTTGATCATGTTTTAAGTCAACGATGAGCCTTCTGTGAAGGAGGATTGTGGGATCAGAGCTTGTCCGTGGTCAGACTCAATCTCCTTCGTGACTGAACAGAGCCCGCTGTTAGGAAGGCAGTGTGCTTATTTTAAATGTTAAATATGTCTGGGTCCAGGCATACTCAGACATATCAGGCTTCACAGAGTTAGCCTGCATCACACATGGCCTCTTTAGTTAAAACATTCTGTGGGTGGCAGCTGCTGTTTAAGAATCGTCTCACAGATAAATCAAGTCCAAGTACACTTGCACTTGTAGTTCAAATCCCTTCTTAACCTGAGTAGGAACAGGACTCTGCTGAAGCAGCTGGCAATGCTAACTTGCACTTGACGGTACTTTTTGTCCTGTTTCCGCTTCTTCATAACACGTAGGGTCTAAATACATTTCTGCCTGTCTAAATTATTCTCCGTGTCCTTTCGGTTGGTCAGTCCTAACTCTGAAAGTAAAGGTGAACTTCAGTGGTTTTGTCAAAGCTTGAATCTGCATGGAATAGAAAATAGAGAGTTGGTTGTAAGTGACAGACTGGTTTTGTCGACATGTCTATAGGCTTTCTAAGACTTAGTGTAGCAAACGTGGTAGCGTATGTTTTGGTAAGATTTGGAGGTTTCCTGCCCCTTGCCCCACCGGATCCCAGCCCCAGGAGTGAACGGTTTGCACATGGCCCTTGAAGGGCCGGCTCAGCTGTCGGATGCCGTTGTGTTGGAGGGGTTCACTTGCCCATCCTTCGGCTTTGCTGAGCCCAAAAAGGTGTCTCGCTTTTACGATGACTTCACTTGTTCTGAGGAGAAGCTGTTTTTGTTGTCGGTTATAACAATGCCCTGGCAGTAATGCAAGCTCATTGATAAGGTGGCTTTTTTTTTCTTCTTTTAAAAAGGATTTTAGCACCAGGATAGTAATGGAAACCACTTTAGGTTTGTTTATGGACCACAAAGATTATGGAGGAACAAATTTTGCAATTCTTTTGTAAGTCTAAAAATCATGGATCTGCTGTATGTAGTTAACTTGCAGTTTGTTTGAAGGGGTCCCATCAGTGAAGTGGAAACAGATTATTTTTTTTTAACTGACTGCTTTTAGTTAAATCTAAATTTGCTGTCTTTGTCAAGTTAATCTGTTCCCTGCCTCGCTCTTTGTAAGCATGTTAAACAATCCACATTAAATGCCATAAATATGAAATACGAGGAAATGGTACAATCGTAAGCTAAAGAGAACTTAAACCAAAAGGAGGTTTTGCTGTCCTTATTAGAATGTTCTAAAATGTCAAGGCAGTTGCTTGTGTTTAACTGTGAACAAATAAAATGTATTGTTTTGCACTACTCTGTGTTAAATTCCCTGCAAGCCGACCTCTTTGGGACCAAGCTGTGCTGAGGCAAAACACACAGAAACAAGTTCAGTATCGAAGCATATCCCAAGACCTGCAGAGCACAGAGCAGGTAAGTGGCTCTGCCCCTTTTTGGACAGGGTTCGTCACTAGCAGCTCATTTTTGTATTGGAGCCAAAGCCTCTTCTGTGAAAAACAACCTCGGCGATGACATGCTGGTATAATCCATAAATTAACTGCAAACAATTCAGCACTGCAAATCTGCATTATTTGCTTTTTCTGTACGGCATTGTTCATGGAGTCTGGAGACTGCATGGTGATTAGACAGATTAATAGCTGAAAATGGCAAAGGCTGCTGCTTGCAACGCTGGGGACACTGTCAGAAATCAAATGGCTTGCTCTGTCCTGCCAATGGACATTTCTGTACCCTGCTCCAGAGGCATTGTGCACGCAGGAGGTCGGTTTCTCAGACCAAGGGGAGCTCTGGGGCCATTTCACTGTAAGTTTAACCTGGTAGGTTATGGTTGTTATCTCTGGATTTTCTTTTTTTTCCAGACTGGCACTTTCTTACTGTTACGTTTTTTCTGATGGGTTTTGTTGTTTGTTTTTCTTCTTCTGAAATAAATTAATATTTGAAAGGTTACTCAAAGCAGTGTAGAAATTCATACATGAACATGTATGAAATTCATACATTCCAGTTAAGGACTGAGTATAGTTCTGTAGTGACGTACAGACTCGCCATGAACAAACTTTGGCTGAGTAACAGTGTTGATGGAGAATTTTATGTAAAAGTTACCATAAGCGTTATCTTGGGGTTAGATGATACATAAAGTTGTCTTTGGGCCTTCTGCACTGGGATGAGTTCTACAGCGTGGTGTAAGTGAAGTGGAAAGAAGGCAGAAAGTGAATTTTACTTGCTCTTACCTTATTTTAAGTCCAATTTGCATATTCCTTAACAGGCTTAGCATTGAAGAGCTGCACTTGCTAGCATGAAAGAAGAATTATATCTGGAATACCCTCAGAAGTACATCTACTGGGGTACAAAAAGAGAATAATAAGGTATCTTACTAATGCTAAAGTAGCATTGTTGGTAGTTCATAACCCAGTAATAAACATACAGTAGACGTTAGGGAAGGAAATACTTTAAATTCAGGAAATGAAAGCGGCTTTGCTGATCAGTTTTGGTTTATTTGAACTATGTAGCTGTCTGTGCAATGGTGGATTTTAAAAGTGATTAATTACAAAATAGTTTAGAAAATCATGAGGAGCTGAGTTACTTTCTTCATACACTCATACATGCAGGAGCTAAAGCTCAGTTAGCTTTACATTTCAGACAAACCTTTATTCCAAGTAATTTTGACTGATGGTCTTTGTGATTCCAGTGTCTGTGAGCTCTGCTTGGCTAAACCTTTCTACTCTAAACCCTCTTCAACCCAAGTGCACCCTCTAGTTTTGGACTTGCTTGGTGATCTTTAGTGTCTGCCAAACCCTATTTACGGTGTGCAGAACGGGCTGTGCTCTCCGTCCCAGCAGAGCACTGCGTGTTTTCCAGTTCACTAACAGTTTAAACCGTGCCACACCACCACCAAGTGCATTCAGAACTGTGGGGAGTACAGAGCTGTCCGGTTGACCGCAATGTGTTCATAATGCAACAGGGAGGTGGTGACAGGGAGCAGCCGATGGCTCTTCTGAAATTACAGTGGCCTCTGCAAGCAGCCGGAGGGAATGGCCCCGCAGGCCTCTTGAGTGACAGCCAGGGGTGACACGGGGCTGTAGCCAGAGCTCACTGCCCTGTGACCGGCTGTAGAAGCCCCTGGAAATTGGGACTGGGGAGGGAAGCGGTACTGTTCGAACTCTAAAAATTCCCTTTAAAAGCCTCTGCTCTGCGACCTGCAGCGTTTCCCGATGGCAGCCACTGGAGGCCCCACGAAGCCGCTGCTTCACTCCATCGCTTCGCTCCACTGCTTTACTCTGCATCGGTTTTAGTGATGTTTTTTTAACTCCCCCCTCTCATTCCTGTGGGAGATCTTCCCCCACCCCTGATGCTGGATCGTAACTTTTCATGGTCTGAGCTGTACCCCGTCCTCTTGACATGTGAGATGCTGGAAACAGATGCTTAAGATACAGACTATTTTGGCCTGGCTGCAGGCTGACAAAAGCCTGGTTTGACCCTCACCCGAGTCAAGGGGACCTCAGAGTCCCATAGATGGCCCATAGATGCCACGATTGTGTTGAGATCATCTCCTGCCAACCTGTATCTTGAGTTCAGTCTTTGTACAAAAAAGCAGCATTTATTTCCTGGACCAACTGTCAGATGAGTGTCAGGTGCCCTGCCTGGTTTCTCTGTGTGTATTTTGGAATTTTATGCTCGCAGAGGCTAAAGTAAAACTTTATTGCACTTCTGTGTTTGGCATTTACATCCTGTTTATGTAAATTCTTCAAACAGCTTGGTTTGTAGTAGAGAAAAGCAATTCTTGCTGTATCTTTTAGTCTTTTGAAGTGTCCATCCACGGTGGAAGAGGAGAACTTGTATGGAAATTAAGTAATTTGTCTAGATGTTTTTGTGAGACTTAACTTTGCAGTCTTCCAACAGATTCTGGTCGTGTCATTGCCAAACCTCAGACTGCAAGTTCTGTGCACTCATTTTTCTGCTTGCGTCTTAAAATTTTGGCTGCCTAAGGCTGATTGAAAGGATAGGGCTAGGCTAGAAGTTATTAGTAAGGTTTGGAAACTCTTGTGTGTCATAACCTTTGTCAAGTACCAAAGGACAACTGTGGTGGCATTTTGACCAGCAGGGTTGGGGCAGTGGTAGACTGAGACTGTTCTGCCAAGCGGTTTGTGCTGTGCTGTGCTGTGGGAGCTGGAAGTGAACTACAGACTGGAGGATAATTTTGGTCTCATCAAAGCCTGTGTGTTCAAATTTATACTGTGTGACAGGGTGAGGAAGGTTGGAAAAAAGATCTGGGAGGAGCATCCCTTGCATCCCCAACACTGTGGCATCTTTCAGTCTACATAGTGTGTGCTTGTCCTGAGAAACTTTCCGAGACAGCAGCTGTCATTGGACACTCGTCTTTGCCACATGAAACACAATAGGGCAGCTGCCAGCAACTCTGGTTTTTCTGCCTGAAGCTGCCCCTGCAGCAGGGCTCTCATATAAAGCCTGAGAGGGTGACGGTCACATTCTGCTGGCCATGGCCCCAGTGGTGCCCAGGAATCTCTGTGTGACCCTGGCACCTTCACTACCATTTTGAGTTCACCAAGGTTCAGTTCAGTTGGATCGTGTCGTCTCCTAAAAATAGGCTGCTGCTGCAGGGGGGGTGGATGTATTGCGCTGCAGTACGCACGGAGAGGGAAAGGGGGGAAATGTGCAAAAGAAGGTGGGGTTCCATGAGGAATAAAAATGCTCCTGAAAATACTTCCCATTTCCTTTTGAGCTCTCATTCCTTCCTGTGCTCCCTCTTCTGTATTAATTCTCCTTTCTCTTTTGGCTGCTTGTTGCCAAATGGGTCATCTGAAGGCAAAAGCTTTCTCATCATTTTAGCAAACTGAGTCAGATGTGCAAGGGGAAATGGTTTATTCAGGACTGTCTTCCAGCAGGAAGCAAAGAACAGGAGCTAATTTGCCTGTGGGAGGGGAAAAGAGCAGTCAGATACAGGGAAGACGCTGTATTACTGAGCTCTAAAGTCTGTTGTTAACAGTGCTTGAATAAAAGCACCACCAAAACTGTGTATCAGCTCTAGAGATGGGGAGAGCCGGGGACTCCGCTGATCCTCCCTAAACAGGCTGGAAGGAAAGCTGTGTTCAGCACTGGCATAAAGTCACTGTGCTGGCATTGCAAAGTGCTGGTATAAAAGCAGAGTGAGACTCTTTCAAATGCCTTGCAGTTTTAATGAACTAAGCCTCCTAACATCCTTAAAAGCTAGGCAAGCCAGATTCTCATCTCAAAAAAGAGAAAGTGCAGACATTTTACCTTGAAATCTGAAAAGGAGCCATCTGAAAACAGCCACAACTTTCTCAGCCTCTCTGCTTCCACCAGATTCCCATGAATTATGTCAAATAGAAAAAACTTAATTCTGCAGAGTTCTGGGAGCACAGGGCTGTTTCAATCACATTTTGATATTGTCAGTACATCAAACTAGGCACAAAATTAAGTTTTTCTTTGACATCTCTAGCACAGATGGCAAAGGAGTCAAATGGGTGTAAGGGTAGGTGATGTGTGCTGGCACTGGTGTGAGAAGCTGCAAGAAGGATGCAGCAGAGCACAGTTGGTGCAGCTAAAGCACACTCAGGTTTCCTGCAGCCAGTGGCATGGAAGGAGGACATCGTTCATTAAGCATTGCTGCTTTGGTCCAAATAACCAGGCAATTTCAATGGAGGTGAGGGAACTTTAGGAACATGTCTGAGCCTGTGATGGGAGGTCTTTGCTGCTCTCTGCATCACGTCCTTCAGACATGCAGGTTCTTCACACCCGTGGCTTCGGTGAGTGAGCGGGTACTCCTCAGAAGTCTGAGAAAGTGCAAAATCCCACTTCAAGTAGCTTTGCCAAGATTTGTATCTGAGAGATTAGAATGTGACTGTTCCTGACTACTCATAGAATGGTTTGAGTTGGAAGGGACATTAAAGATCATCTAGTCCAACCCCTCTGCCATTCCCTGCTCTCACTGCAGTGCTGGTCACTGCAGTAGCGCTACAGCTGCTCCTGTTGAGTTATGACTTTAAGGAGGAGAGTGGAAACAGCAGCAAGGGATAATAGAAGGCTGTGTCTGACCAAGGTTGGCCTACAGGGCTAACACTTCAAAATGTGGACTCATATAAGATCTCTAGTATTCAGTTCACTTTATTTAATCACCCACCTGATTAAAGGTGGTAAGCAGACGATGGGTGAACTTTGATCCTTTAGAAGGCACGTCTGCCTGGTGGTTTCCAGGGACCTTTAAGTTTCCCACTGGGATTTTCTGTGTCATTCAGGTGCTTCCTCCGGACATGATTACTCCCCTGCACTTGCATATTAGCTTTGTTACTAGTTGAGGCCTGAGCTTCAAGGGGCGCAGAAGGTGGTGTCTGGGAGATCGCTGCCCTAGCTGGTGCATCCTGGGGTGCTCTCTTCTGAGATGCAGCACTTCCACCACTCACATTATACACCATGTGCTGTGGCAGCTTCTCAACGTGCGCTACCCACTCCTTCATGCAGTCCAGAATGATGGGGATGAGGCTCACCACACCTCCATAATGATTCTTTGCTTCGTGACAGCTCAGGTGATTCGGCTTCTCAACATGCGCTACCCACTCCTTCATGCAGTCCAGAACGATGGGGATGAGGCTCACCACACCTCCATAACGATTCTTTGCTTCGTGACAGCTCAGGTGATTCACAACGTCATGGGGGTATCTGTGGGGCAGGAGGAGACAATTGGCAGTTGCTGCATGGGTCAGATCTGGAAGAGTTCAAGAGCCTGTACAGACACTTGCCTCACAGAAATCAGGGACATGCAGAGCAGGAGGAGGAGGAGGAAAACTGCCTGAGCATCGGATGGGTTCCATCCTGCCTGAATGTCCCTTTCCGGGCACCAGTAGAATCATAGGATGTATTCGGTTGAGAGGGACCTTTAAAGCTCATCCAGTCCAACCTCTGCAGTGAGCAGGGACATTGGTACCAGATCAGGTTGCTCACAGCCCCATCAAGCCTGACCTTGAGTATCTCCAGGGATGGGGCCTCCACTACGGCTCTGGGCAACCTGTGCCAGTGATCTACCACCCTCATATTGAAGAACTTTTTCCTAATATCAGACCTAAATCTCCCCTTTTCTAGTTTAAAACCATTACCCCACATCCTATTGCTACATGACCTTGTGAACAGATCTTCTCCAGATTCTTCCTTTCAGGTATTGGAAGGCTGCAATAAGGTCCCCCCAGAGCCTTCTCTTCTCCAGTCAGAACAACCTCAACTCTCTCACCCTGTCTTTGTAGGGGAGGTGCTCCAGCCCTTTGATCATCTTTGTGGCCTCCTCTGGACCCACTTCAGCACTTCAATGTCCTTTTGTGTTGGCTACTCCAAAGCTGGATGCAGTACTCCAGATGGGGGTCTCACCAGAACAGAGTAGAGGGGCAGAATCAGTAAAATGAATGAAGAAAAATCCAATCACCTTGTTGTGAATGGAGGCTGGCGGTATTTTCCCAACAGCTGGAATAGTAAACTGGGGTAGCACCTTGTACCCTCACTAAAGCCAGAAAGGTGTTGTAACAGAATTGATGGAGAAGTCAGGTGGGAATATGAATTCTTATGACAGTCCCCAAGCATTGGCAATTGCCTCAAAGAAACCAAGCTGATGGAGCGACCTACTTAGCTCGGATGGCGCTCAGATCGTTGTTGTGGTTAAGGAGCAGCTTGCATCTCTCCAAAATGCCACGGGTTACGTTGTTACCAGAATGCACAGTTTCCAGCTTGTTGCAGAGCTTGCTTAGGTCATCGCAGATGTTTAGGAACATGCTGAGGATACGCCTGTCAGTGGAATTGTTACAGTGATGGTCCATGTAGCACTGTACCTGTACATAGTGAAAGACACAGTCATGCATGTTAATTTACACTTAACTTACACAGCAAAGTTGCTTAGGTTAGTGACGAGAAGCTCCTTTCCCTTGTGATTCTGTGGGCATGAGCCACTATGAAAACTACAATACCGCAGCAGGTAGTACAATTTTTAGAGCATGCATGAGATATTTGCTTGTGATTCATCATGGCTGAAGAAGCCTGGGTTAACGGGTCTGCTCATCAGCACACCAGCAAGCCTTCCTCCCTCTTTGAAGAAGTGTAGGAGTACCACAGCCAGAAACACCGCTCTGCTGCAAGCGCTGCAGAAACACGAGCTTGGGGGGAGTTTTCTGTCTGCTCTGCTCCAGGCACCCTCTGCTACTGTCATGGCTGCTGAGGCAGAGTGGGGTGGGAGCTGAGGGCAGCGACCGACCTAGGACTGGTTTGGAGTATCGGTGTGGATGTGTTTACACGTACACACATGCTTCATGGTTCTTTATTTGGCACCACTAGATGTGACTGCAAAACTAAACCCATTTAACATAAATTGTCCTTGCTAACCTGATATAGCAGTGATATTCCCTATTTGCCTGGTGTACTTTTGTTACTCAGAGTGAATGGCATTGCATGACAAAACATCGTGCTAAGAGATCAAGTATTTTCTCCAAAGTAATTACAGGCACTTCAGACACGAGTGGTCAGAATATGAAATACCAAGCGGCTGTTGGCAGTCAGAGCTGGACCCAAACACCTCCAGTGCTTTCTGTAAGATTTCAAGACAAGAACAAAGTGGCTGTTCCAACATCGGTACACTTTCTGCATACAGAAAAGCCATGCTATTTGCTTCGGCAAATTCTCAGCAGGTTTGTAAGAAAAAGAAAAAATGGCCCCTAAAGGTCCATTTCTACTACAGATTCCTGTTTCCACACTGTTTGCTGAGCATTGTGTCCATGCGAGTGGCAAATTTCTCTTTTTATGGTTGCTGTGAGCAGAAACAGTCCTAAAGTGAATGGCATTTTAGCCTTGATATTCACCGATGGGATAACAGAAATTCTTTTTGTTCGTAACAGCAGAGAGTTAATGCACCTGTACAGCCAGGACAGGGACCAGGACTACAGGAACAATGGCTGGCAAGGGCTGCCCAGGAGTTGGGCATCTGGGTGATTTGAATCTCTGGCTGAGGAGCTCGTCTCACAGAACCACTTGAGATTTGACCCCACCCCATCCAAAGTCTAAGGAGCTGCTGCCATTGCCTGACCATGGTGTGTGCTTCAACCTTTGCCCCTTTGCTGTCCTCTTTTGAGAAATGTCATCACGTGACACTAAAAGTACTACTACACACAGCTTTTAGGGACTGGAAATGCAGCCATGTTCAAGTGCGGTATCACTTTTTCTGCAGTCTCTATATTTACATGCAAAGAAAGCTGGCAGCCAAGTCAGCCATATGCTGAGACCACACATGTTTCCACGTTTGTTACTTTTCTTCTTGTGCCCTCCCACAAAAAATTAAAAACAGGGTTGGGCCAATTCAGGAGAAGAGCAGTGAAGTAAAATGGATGTCTGGTTTTGTCAGTAAATGTCTCTGGTAATGGTTCAGTTCCTGCACAACACTTCACCAGCATGTGCTGCCCCAATTGCTCCCTGATCTCGCCAGTAATTTGCTCTTTTCCCTTTCCCATCCATCCCCTGGGGTAATGTGGTTGTGCCCTCAGGGCTGGCCATGCAGTGCAGTTTGCCACCACTAAGTTCACGTTACTGTATCACAAATGATGCCATGGATCGATGTAATTGTTGAAGTTGTTACATACAAGGTTTCACCCCCACAACAAGCAGACCTTCCACCTCTGTGGAGTCCAAGCTTGCTTGATATCACTGAAATAGTGGTACTTCTAAAAACAGCCTAATGTTATACGAAATCTCCATGATTGTTTTTGAAAAACAAAATGTTTCAGTGTTATGTCCATCTCAATGCTCTTCAATGTTACCAGCAAAGTTCTTATGTTAGAACTGTGAGAGTCAGCACTCAGAAAGGACAACGTGCTCACTTCTGTGTCCTAATCCTGGGCTTTCACTCTGGCTTTGGCATCCATCTGGGTTTTGTGCCTGGGTTCTGCTGTTTGAAATCCTCAATTCTAATTTTATTTAGATTTTTCTTCCCCCTCTCTGCAGGCGGTCTAAGTTCTTTGCACTACTTAAAACATGCCATGTTATAAAAATTCCCAGACAATTCACTTACCAGCCCACAAAATCCTTTAGCCCACTTGGGGCTTTCAGCCCACAATCCATCATCCTATCTCTGTAACACAGCCATTATTTTTAATAAGCACTATAGAAAGATACAGCAGCACCAATACCAGGGGGAAGAGGCAAGGATGCTGGTTACTACAAGTTAAGGATTACAGATTCCGTATGTGGCTGGGGAAGGAGGGTTGGTTTGATTGTTTTCTTGTACCCTGTATTTCTGGCTATGCCTCAGTGGTGAAATGACGGTATTAAACTAAATCATAAAGTGAAGCTCAGCAATAAAATTCCTTCTCTGTAAATGGGAACCCCTAATATAGGTATTTCTGTCCTGTCTTTAATCTTTTGCCACTGGTTTGCAGTTACATGCAAATGTTAGTAGAGAGTTTTTGTGCATCTTCCCTTAGTAAAAACATTTCTTTATCCCTGAACTAGACCCAAGTGTGTGACAGCGCTGCCTTGGTCCCTGTTCTCATCAGCAAAGAATCTTGTGCTGAATACTCGGTACCTGGTTGATGCTTGCCACGGGTCTGATCCTGTCATATGCATTCTCTCGGGTGTGTTGCAGTGCTCCAATAAAGGTGAACTGCTGCTGCAGGAAGAGCTTGTATTTCTGCTCTATGTTTCTTAGAGCCTCCTTTACCTCATTCATGGGTTTTTTTCCCCCTTTCCTGGATTTTGGGAGAGAAAGGAAGCTACTTTTTAGAAGTGATGCAGTTCTACATATGTAACTCTTTCGCCTGAGTTGGAATTGTATAGGTTATTGGAAAACTTTAAAAAAAGGAGAAAAAGAGAAGATATATTGTGTCAAAGCTCTGCAGTCCCAGAGCCCCAAGCAGTAAGTCAATGAGGTAGTAACGATGCTGCAAAAAGAGGCAGAGAACCCAGCGGGGACCACTGACAATCAG